ATTCTTCCACTTAACTTTTTCTTTACTTGTATAATAGTCTAGGGCTGGAGGTATTTTTTTTATTTTTATAGAAAGGTAAATTCTTTCATTATTTTTCTGATCTTATTAATGGTTTTAGTTGATTCACATTTAATATTTCATCTTGCATCAATTTTGGCATTCGTTCACTTTTTTCTTTTTACCTTTTGACTCCCCTTCACCTGTTTCTTCCATCCCCCACCAACCGCCTCTGGCAACCACCAATCTGTTTTCTGTATCTATGAGCTTAATTTTTTTGTTGTTTGTTTTTTTCTTTATTTAGATTCTATATATAAGAGAGATCATACAGTATTTGTCTTTCTCTGACTTATTTCACTCAGCATAATGCCCTCAAGATCTATCCATGTTGTCACAAATGGCAAGATTCCATTTTTTATGGCTGAATAATATTCCATTGTATGTCTGTGTACCACAATTCCACAATTTCTCTATCCATTCGTCCATCAGTGGATGCTTAGGTTGTTTCCATGTCTTGACTATTGTAAATAACACTGCAGTGAATGCAAGGATGCATTTTTTTTTAAGTTAGTGTTTTCTTTTTTTTGGATAAATACCAAGAAGTGGAATTGCTGGATCTTAAGGTAGGTCTATTTTTAATTTTTTAAGAAACTTTCATACTGTTTTCCAAAGTGGCTACACCAATTTATATTCCCACCAACAGTGTACTAGGGTTCCCTTTTCTCCGCATTCTTGCCAACACTTGTTATCACATATCTTTTTGATAATAGCTGTTCTAACAGGTGTGAGGTAATATCTCACTGTGGTTTTGATTTGTATTTCTCTGATGATTAGTGGTGTTGAGCATCTTTTCAGGTACCCATTGGCCACCTGCATATCTTCCTTTGAAAAATGTCTATTCAGATCTTCTGCCTGTTTTTAGAAATCATATTATTTGTTTGTTTGATATTGAGTTTCATGAGTTCTTTATATATTTTGGATACTAGCCCCTTCTCAGATATATGATTTGCAAATATTTTCTCCCATACAGTACGTTGCCTTTTCATTTTGTTGATGGTTTGTTTCTTTGGTGTGCGGGAGCTTTTTCTTTTGATGTTGTTTCACTTGTTTGTTTGTTTTTTTGCTTTTGTTGTCAAAGTCAAAAAATCATCTCCAAGACCTGTGCAAGGAGCTTATCACCTACATTTTCTTCTAGGAGTTTTATGGCTTCAGGGCTTACATTCAAGTCTTTAATCCATTTTGAGTTAAATTCTGTGTATAGTGTAAGAGAGTGGTCAAGTTTCATTCGTGTGTGACTGTCCAGTTTTCCCAACACCATTTATTGAAGAGACTGTTCTTTCCTCATTGTATATTCTTGGCTCGTTTGACATAAATTAATTGATCATATACCTGTGGGTTTATTTCTACCATTCTGCTACTGATGGGTATTTGGGTAGTCTTCAGTTGGGACTATTACATAGGAGACAAGAGTGCTGCTGTGTTAGTGTGTAAATGTACCACAGTCCGTTCTGTTGTTAATGGCCATGTTGGTTTGCTAGGGCTGCTGTAACAAAATGCCACAGACTGGGTGGCTTGAACAACAAAAATCTATTCTCTCACAGTTCTGGAGGCTAGAAGCCCAAGATCAAGGTGTTGGCAGGGTTGATTTCTTCTGAGGCCTCTTTCCTTGGCTGATAGA